AATGACAGCGACGAAAGTCAGACGATGTCAGCTTAATCTACACATGTCCTGAAACAAACAACCAACTTTACCTATGGTGAAAGCTGACGGTCCACAATATAGATTCACGCGATCGTTCAGTTACTCATTCGCTTACATCCATTTCCTTGTTTATTAACTATTAATTTTACCATTTTCCTACTTCAGTAGACCAACAACCTTACATCATCACTTGAATTCTTAGGCCAGCGATCTCAGCGACCACATCTTGGGAAAGACACAACAGAGGTTAGACCTTCGGCCAGACGCTTCATCCACTGAGGCATGACCAGACCAGAACACCATGCTCTTGCTGTCATTCGAAAGTCTGAGTCTTACGACCAGTTTCTCGGTTGGTTGCGCTGAAGCAACGTAGGGCAAATTCTATTATGAAAAGAATTCACAGTTACGATAAAGATTAGTCCTCTCCGAAATCGAACCCGGGATTTACGGTTAGACGTTTCCGGTTTGATACTGTAACACCGTGCGACACTTAGAAACGATTTAACTCGAAGAAGTTGTTGAATTAACAGCTACTACTTGTTAATTTTGAGTAAAAGTTTGTTTTCAGTTTATCACTTCGCTGAAGGAAACACAAGGACATACGTGCTATATGGTGTTCTTGCCAAACACGCCGTAGATACTGCTTTGGCCTTCGCTGTCAAAGCTGAAGACACTACAGAAGACGATAATCATGAAACTATAAGAAACACTACATTCTACTCAGAAACTTTCATTTCTAATTTCGCTTTGCCGCTTCTTACTCATGGACACGATTAATTTTTCTATAAAAAAGCGGTAAAAAATCTGATCATTTACAAAACTGAAGCAAATATCCGCATAATATCTCTGAACGTTAGCTCTGTTCACTGGTATGCGGACAGTATGTTACTGCTTACTGCTAGCCGATCATTGGAACAGAGGCTTATAGACATTCGATGCGCGTATTACGAAATCCGGACCGTATACCTCGGTTGATCTGCTATAAGCCATACATGCATACGGAAAATAAAAGCAGGCAATTTTCATTCGCATATAGTCAACAACCCCCAGTGAGACGAAGCAAAGCTACGCGGTACGAAGGATAAACGATGAATAAAGTGTGGTCGTGCTCATGTTCACAGAGGAAAGCCCAAGTGGATGAAGTCTCACAAATCCGTCACCTAAAACGCCACTGAACCGAAACAAAAGCAAAGGATGTCCATGTTCGAAACGTCTATGAGTGAGAAGTAACCAAAACCACAACTTTCTGCCAGGATGAGATAAGAAGATTAAGCGATCAACCCAAAAATAACTAACAGAGATCGATCAAGAAAAATTTCTCACCATAAACACCGTCGCGAATTTCATCATGGCAAGTGACCACTGAAAAACGTAACTTGCTGACCATCATTCAAGTGCAATGTCTGAATGGAGAGCTCTGAAGAAGGCCGGCCACGACGATCTTATGATCGCGATGGTGCGCGAAGCCTAACTTTCGCGATTATGCCATGTTTTGCTTATCATTTAACAGGATGGGCATCGAAGGCTGATATTTTCAATCTGATCATTCTAAGACCATAAAGGGCCTCTGAACATAAGGCCATAAGGCAAAAATGGCATTACTGCGTGGAAATTAAGGCATGTATGACTATTTCTCCAGATGTTAGAATCACAAATAGAATCTTACAAATCCATCAACCTATAAAACCAGGAAAAAAACTGTGGAGTTCGTTTAGCATAACAACGGGAGAAGCGGATAAAAATTTTTCTCACGTCGGTCGTAAGGAACGCTTCAGACAAGAGCTCTCGGCAATGGTATATGCCTTTCGTCAGATGACGAGCACGCATCTTCAGCAGCTTATTATACAGTGAAAAGGATAACGGCCTATGGATGTGGCTCAATATGCCAACAACAATAAACAATAAACAAATAAATATGAATAGTACAAACTACGATCGAGGACGATTTCACACCTTTGTCGCATGTGCGTACCGGGCGACGACATGCTGGTTGTCGAACGGCTAAAAATTTCTTTCCAAGTGAGGGAGTTAAGTCCTAATACAGGAGATGCCGAAATCCTTACGACGTACTGCATGTGCAGTTCCTTGGCGGATGACGTCGAGTCAGTGAAACCGGGGTCCAAAACCGCCGAAATATCAGTCACGTTGTCCCAGTACTTTGCCAATGCCAGGTCTAATAAATGCCGCTCCTCGCTGCCATTCTTGTACTGCAGCACCGGCTCGTTTCTCGGCTCTTCCATGGCGAAGCAAAATCCTGAAAGTATCGGAATAACTATACCCAACTGCTACTGGCCAAATAAGGCGTTCCTCGGCCCGCGACTGCATGCGGTATTTAATAGCTTGCCTGAAAATCGAAGTAACAATGTATCACTATCCCTTTCCGCGCTAGTGTGTCATTAAAATTGTGTAATGATTCGACGAGACATTACGATAGCCGTTTGCGATCTGAATTAAATGAAGGGAATCTCAGCTTTAAAGTAAGTCATAAGTCTAGTACCTCAAGTTTTGTATAACACAGCGGCAATATAATAGAATCATAAAAACGAGCATCTGATCAGTCGAACATAATTTGACTCATAATCGTGAATCCGTGAAAAATCAGCAAAAGAACCAAGTTTCATCAGCAGAAATCTGTAAGTTAAAGCGCAGGGTTACTTTGCATCCGTTAGGATTGTTTTAAGCTCCATGAACGCTAGCGTTGCTTTCAGGTCAAAGGACCACCAACTTTGCCCTGACAATACTGACGAATCTTAAAGCGCTTGAAGAGCAAGGGAACATTATTTACAGGGTTACCTGCTCAGGTTGTTACTTCTGGCGCAAACGACAAGGTTGACACGTGACTTCTGCGGGTAAGCGGTAATGACAACACGCCAAAAATTTATGGGTAACATCTGGCCCATGTACTACTGCGATATTACACATCAGTAGATTTCGCAGGTGTGCAACAAGCCATATTATGGCACGAATTTCATCGCATTGTGCTGAAAATTATTGCGATCAAATGATAGTCTGCGACACTGAAAACACAAGTCTAGCATCGGATGTCCATGAATTGCACACGCTAAATCAAATATTTGCAATGTCTGAAGTGAGAAATTTAACAGTTTAAACAGTATCACAAATGATTGATTCATTCAAGGCATGAGATGGCAAAAATTGCACAAAACGACATATTCAGACCAGTTCTGAACATAGTGCCATAGGGAAATTATCAAAATCTAAACAGCTCACCATAGGATGAAAGTATGATTGTCGTAGACTAGATGGCAGCCATCGCATACGCTTAAAATCTATAGCGAAAGAAAAATGGATAAACATATAGGCAAATAAAGTAATATTGAAAAAGAAAAGAAACATAGAAAGAACAAACTGACTAAGAGGCATGAAAGTTAAGATAAACGTCATTAATGGATCATCGATGAAGATCGAAAATATTCCTTCTCAGGAAAACGAACGAAATGTAAAACAAACTGAAGCCAATAGCGCTCACGTAAAAAACGGTTCAGTTGGTTCGAATTTGCCCCGCCAACCTTTGAAGGGATAACTGTTAATAAGAAATATTTAATAACGCATGTTGGATTTGAAACCTGTCAAATCCAATTGGTAATTCAACAACAACATAAGTGCAATATGTATTTCCGCGATGCTTTTCCCGAAGCACGTATAAAAATTTACACTTCGGAATTTCGATGCCGGTCGGGATACGTTTTTAACTAGAAAAAACATGGTGGTTCATTAGCCGATTCCCATGATTCACGAAAACGAAATAGATTGATGCACAAGATGAAATATACAAACCTTTTAATTACATTAGCACTTTATCCAATTTCAAGCTTTCTCCTCAGTGAAAAGCTTCGCTTTGAGCAGCATTTCTTTCACTTTGTAAAGTGTTTTGTCCTATCTTTTATTCGACACATTGCACCAAAGCAGCGGGAAAATACCAAATGTCGTTCGCAGAGCAATGGATTTGGTTCATTAAAAAACAATCCAATCTGATGGCATTGAAAAGGCATCAAGTCTGTACCCCACCTACGTCTCAAGAAGGAAGGATCCAGCATGCGTCATTACGAACAGTGAAATAATACATTCATTTAAACAATTAAATGTAGTTGAAATCTTTCCATCTGACTCCAATGATAAAGACAACTTAACAGAAATTGATAATTTCCAGGATAAGAACTTCCGAGGAAATGTTTTTGGGCATAGAGAAAGTGCATAGTTTGAATGATTCATGCATAAACCGATATTTCAGAATACGGCATTGTCATCAATCTGGACGTTACTCTCTTGCAGCTTAGTCCAATGTCTTTTTGGCATTATTTCTGAGACTTTTACGAAGAACATCACGATGGATGTTATCAAGCATCTTATCAGTGTATCTCCCAGTTTGCACAGTTGCCATCGTTCTTTCGTTAAATGAAGATGGCAAAAATAATGCTTATTCATAAAATCCCTCCAAGCAAGTTTTTCCTAAGACAAATGGAGAAGGTTTTCAGCCATATCTCATTGTAAAATTTTTGTTACCAACTGGTACAAAGTGCAGCGTAGCCCTTGATTGCAACGGAAGGCAATATAATGATATGAGAATATATATACTGCCACTATACTTATTCTTTCGCATGGCTTTTGCAATCGCTGACAGTTCGACGACACGAGAGCGATCCTAGACAGTCTAATCAGATGGTGTTACGCCACATGAATATCAACGTATTTCTATGACAACATCTATAAATATTTTAGCCGGTGAAACGTTGCTTATTGACATATTAAATTTAATACTGAAGGTCCAGATAATTTTTGGGCTATAGAATCGACGATGTGCGCGAAAACGAAACATATGCTATAAACTCCATTTCGATAGATGCCAGACAACTTATTGAAATCTTACAAAAACATATTTCCCCTTTAAAGAAAAATGAACTGATTCTATTATTAGTACTAATCGTGAAAAATTTACGATATACTGCCTGTTTTGCAATATTGGGACAAAAAGTTCAGCATCCGCAGTTTGTCTCGATCACGTTGACAGCTTTGACATCGAGCAGTCGGCCGTTTTTAAGCAACAAATGGACCGTCAGTCAAGCGAGCATGTCTGCAATCGACAAAATCTGTTCAGAGATACGTTATTCGCTAGAGCTGTTCGATATATCGTCAGCTTTGTATAATGCTGCTTCATATCGAAGGTATGTGCATTACCGTAGACAGCAGGGATCACCTGCAACCTGAAGGATATTGTTGAGTCACACTGATATGGAAAAATTTCTGTATCTGCGCAGAGCACCGGAAACACATAGGATCGTGTGAACGATGAGACTTGCGAAAACGTTCCGCAGCAATTGCATCGTATGCAAAAACTAGAAATGACGTAGGGCAGTATACATAACGAGAAATGCTTAAAAACCCGGAATTGGTTCCGCGGTGGAAACGAAACGAAAAATACCTTATCTTTAGTGTGACAGCTATATACGTTCAGTTAAAAGTTGACGTCTGTATTCCACCACTAATAATCATGGTTCGGTTGGAACGTGTACGCTAAATGAATGAGAAAACGAAATTTGCACTGTTATTGCTACTAGCAGGTGAAGGTATTTCAGGATGTTCTGACTTCCACAAAGAGTCAAATGCAATTTTCACAGGAATGCCTAATACTTTAATCAGGAAGATATTGTCGATAGCATGTTTGTTTACATGTTGGCACAGTAAGATGGAGTGAGTAACGAGTACTCGTGATAAGGAAAGTTGAGGCGCTATCATTAACCTGACAGGGCAGTCACACTCAATGAGATTAAGATCTGGCACTCACGCTTGTTACTGTTCAAATTATTCAACCAGTTTGAACATGAGCCTTATCGATTGTACCCTGAGTTCGTTGGCGTGGCAGCGGTATTAAATTCTCTACTGTCGATACTGCTTGATACACTCCGTCGACAGCAACTACAGCCAAAAACTAACTACCAAAAATCGTATTTGTAGAAAAAAATATCCCGTAGTAAGTCACAATTAAATCTGTGTTCGATCAAAGCTTGCCATACCTGCATCCAGAGCCAACCAAAAAAATTCAGTCAGAACGGCATCAGACCAAATCATTACTGTTCTGATTACGTGACACTAGTCGAAGACCCTTCAGCTTCTGAAAGTCATAAAAGCTCCGTAATTCATCTAAACTGCGATACCACAATATCGGCACTACGTGAACATTCAAGACAATGTAGCACTTTGTCATGTGCTAAATTTTGAAGTCTTAGTAGCAATTCTGTTTTTAAAAAAGTAGGTGCGACTCATTTTCAGATTAATCCACTACGGCCGTGGAGGCAACAGCATCAAACTCCCGTCAACGTTCTTGATCCTGTACCATCGTTTGAGATTCGTTAGCAGATCACCTGAATCTAGAGCAGTCTGTCGACAAACTGTTTCAGGTCATTCTTGATCGGCCTCGGGGAGTTTAGTCAGTCGGTTGGGAAAATAATCGCTGTTTCACCTTCGTTTTGGAAGCTTCGGTTAGACATGACGAAAAAATTCTTCTCACTCTGAAGCAGAGACTATACACCATCGGATCTTGAAGATCAAACGTCAGAGGACTCAATTTTTCTGAAGAACTCAATTTTTTTTGCAAAAACAGATTTTCTAGGATTCTGCTCGGACAATGAAGCTGATCTACAATATTGCACATTGTTTAACAGATTTTATTTTGCTATATTTTCAGTATGGCAGATGAGCATTTAAAAAGTGGTAAACAAAAAAAAAATTCAAATGTTTATTTCAATTAACAGATAAAAACAGTAGACATAAAACTACATAACTGTACGGACAATTTGAGCTTAACACTAACAGAAAAATCAAAAATATATTCGATTAATATTTAAATTTTATTTAAAAGAAAATAAATACAAACAATTAAATTAAACTAAATT